AGTTTCCCCACGTAAGGATGAATCAGATATTAATAATTAATCAATAACTGATCAGACTTTATGTTAAACTGAGTTTTTTCAAACCTGTTTTCTGGAACGGGTCCTGGATTTAAAGCCATTTCTAAAACGTTGAGTTTTACATGTGTGAGGCAGCTGAAACTAAACCCAGGCTGTTAATGTTTATGCATTGGATCACATGAGTGATGAGTTCGTCCTGGTAGCTGTCGATAAATGCTGCTGTCAGAAGGAGGGGGGAGTGGAGGACTGGGGACCCAAATGTAGGAGGCAAAATAAGATGTGTTAAATAACAAAAAGTGAGTCATTTATTGGGCTGGAGACAAGGTCCACAGTAAATACAGCCAACAAAAATCTAAAAACACAGGTGATCACAGAGGACGGCACACAGGAAGCAAAAACAGCAGACACGTCTGAAAAGCTTTACCCTCACAAATTTCTCTTCAAGTTGTGCGAGCAGCTCCTGTCTGCAGAGGTTCATGGATTTATTTATTCACTCGATTGTTCTGATAATGAAGAAGAAGGTCCTGAGCTGATGTTTTCCTCTGGTGGATTTATGAAGGTTCAAAACAGAGAGAGATCAGAGGTAATGAGATCCTGAGAATCTAAACATGCACGTTTCTTGCATTACAGTTTATCTGTGACTGAATTCTGACAATAAAACCTAAACTGCTGCAGATCGTTTTACCTGCAGCATCAGGTCACCTAAAACCCGACAACGCTGCTGTCAGCTGCTGTGACATCACTGGGCTGGACCCCCTTAAGCAGCTTGGTCTCTGATTGGTCAGTTTTCCTCTTATTCTTAGTGACCACTTTCCGTTTTCTGGTTTGGATTCCATCTTTCTTCAAGGCCAGCGGGCGATTCACCTGCAAACATTTAACAAAGACTCAGCCTCAAAGTACAAGGAACATCTTCTTTGCTGTTTTACTCTTACTAGAGGAAGTAAAGCATGTGGCCAGAGCAGTATTTTACTTTGTAGTACCCGGTGTAGTCTGTAGTAGAGTCCGCAGGCGTTGCAGACGGCTTCTCCTGCAGAGTTTCTCCTCCACAGCGTCGTGTGCTCAGTCAGACAGTTCACACACTGAGTTCCTTTCCTCTGAATCCTGCTCTGGAATAACACACCATACTGTTTTGAATTATATTTTGAGGTAATTTAACACAATTTTCTTTTTCAAACAAGACGTTTCCCACAGGAAATCTGAATTTTTCAGTAATAAATAAGAGGAAGAAAACTGGCGGGACTTTCAGTGCATGCCCCTCATCCAGCAGATGGTGGTGGATCTGTTCCTGTTGTTCAATTATTTTCT